CAAGATGTTATTTTATGCATTAGCCTCCATTACTAATTTTTCAATAATAATATTTCGATTAGTCTGGTTTCGTATATTCCTATCAGATTTACTTCAACATAAAAGTAGTGTTCATTTGAATGAAAGGAAATTCAAATGCAATGAAGAAAATTGTGGCAAAAGTTATGTTCAGAAATCGAGTCTAATTACACACAAAATGATACATTCGGGCGAAAACCCATTTGTTTGTCATTTCAATGATTGTCACAAAGGATTTAACAAAAAATCCAATTTAATTCTCCACAAGAAAATACATTTGAAATCAAAATGATCAGGATTGTATCCATTCATGATCGAAAGTGTCGAAAATTTATTTATTCTTAACAAATATAATTATATTTTTTATGAACTAATCATTACATGTAAATTAAGCATTTATTTATAAATCATTAAAATATTGATTATTAATTTGTTTGCATAAAACATAAAAAAAATTTATTTATATATTAATTTTTTAAATATAATTCTAATAGTATAGCATAATATGCTAAGCATATATTTAATGTACCAGAGTGAGACAACAGTTTTATATTAAATTATCATATTTTACATACAACCAGCACCTACCAAAAATATCTTATCAAACCAAACCGCAATAATAAACTTTTATTTCATACGCTTTTGTAATGTAATCATAAAATTAATAATAAAATATTCAATTAATCACTGAATTAACAAAACACTTGTTATTTAACCCAAAGGTTTCGACAAAATTATATAAATTATTCTGAACTATAAAAATACAGTAAACTATTTACTCCTATAACCCGGAATATATGCACCCAAAGGGAACTGTATGTCAACCGTAAAGGTGAATCTACACGTGAATGGAGGCGCCGTCGACCATAAGTGCCGTTCCCGTGACAAACGCCGACTCCTGTGAGGCCAAGAAGGCCACGGCGTTCACGACGTCCTGAGTCGTGCCGATGCGTCGCAATGGGTTCGTGTCCTCCAAGTGCTTCAGTACTCCCACCAGTATATCGCCCGCACCGGTAGCCGCCTGGAAGTTGGTTCGCACGGCTGTGGGACTAGTGTTAGGGGGAGGGGGAGGGAACGTGAGGTTATATTTTGACATTTTAAGTACTATAATTTTTTTAATGCAGCATGGCGATTCTTACTTAACACTGTTCACTCGTATGCCTTTGGGTCCCAACTCCAGTGCAATACATTTGGTGAACATATCGATCGCACACTTAGCCAAACAGTAGGGCATGAAATGTACGTTCTGTGTGGGGGACAGGCATTATATAATAAATGAGCTTGGTATTAAATGTACTAAGTATATAACGTATNACTTAGCCAAACAGTAGGGCATGAAATGTACGTTCTGTGTGGGGGACAGGCATTATATAATAAATGAGCTTGGTATTAAATGTACTAAGTATATAACGTATATTTTATTTACAATATCTAATATCTTATAATTATTCTGTGATAATAGTTAAAATTATTTGCATTTAATAATTATCTAGCTATTGAAGCTAAGGTATTGAATATTATTATTATAGGGGAAAGGTATGCGATAACTCACGGGCTTAACAGACAGAGTGCTCGATATGTTTACGATAACGCCTTTAGTTCGCTCCAAATGAGGGACAGCCAACTGAGTCAACAGCACCTGTAGGCAAGCATTCAACAGATTTTATAGATTTTGAAATTTAATTAAAATTTTCTACAAATGAGTTAATACTGACCACCGATCGGACGTCGAGTCGCATCATGTGGTCAAAGGTTTGCATGAGTTTGGGGTCGTATATACTGCCGAAAGCACCGGCGCCCGCATTATTGACCAGTATATCAATGCGTCCGAAATGACAAACCACTGTCTCGACTATACGCCGACAGTCGTCATCTTTGGTCACATCCGCCAGGATTTGTAGGGCTTTCAGCTCTGGACACAGGATTTGTGGCATTTTTTACTTGTTTTAGTATTTAATATCAAAATATTTTTATATGTTTTATAGACTGCAAAATTGTTTTTAATTAAATACTTTATTATAATATTAATTGTCTTGGTATAATAACGGCAACTGTCTGAAGTGTTATGTTTTTTAATAATTTTATTTCGGAGAGAGAGAGAGATACAATTTTAAATGCTAATTTTTAGCTAAATGTTCAAACAATTGAAATATTTTACTATTTTTACAATCAATACTATTTATTTAATTTTAATTTACAGTTTGTAGTAGGCTAAATTTAAAAAATTAAACATTTATTGAACATACTTTTAGGCGATACACTATTGCACTCATTGGCCACTTTAGCCACATTGGCACCGTTACGTCCATTCACCACCACCTGCGCCCCCGTACGGGCAAAGTAGTTGACCATAGCCGCGCCTATACCACCGCTACTACCGGTGACCAGCACTACCTTTCCGCTAAAGTCCTTACTCGTGGCCATTATATTTAGACTCAAACTTAAGATTTTTGCAAAAATCTAAAACTTTTTTAAATGTAATCGAAATAAAGGTTAAGATTTTTAAAAACTTTTTTGATGTAAAAAATAATTTCTAGTTTTTTCTCTGACATCAAAAACTCGTTTTGTTTGCAATTTCGTCGGAAATCTGATAAATAAAATGCAAAACAAAAAGTTTATTTTCTTATCGATTATCGTATTTGTTATCTATTTTATAGACATTTTTATTATTATGGCCTAAAATTATTTGGCGTTTAAGAGTTAATGTTTAAGTTTTCACTTTCATTACTAAATTCATTGCATACATGTCTGGAAATTTATTTTTGGGGAAAGTTTTTGCAATATATTTGCAAATATTTCTCATATTAACCATCCAATTAAAACGTACATGCTTATATTTATAGCGAGCACATAATTATTCAAATATTTCTACAATAATCAAAAATAATTAAAAATACTAACAAATAAATAAAATAATTTTAATCCATAAAAATTATAAAAAATGTACTATTATATTAAACTTTTTATATATTTTAAATATATTTTACTAAATATGTTTGACTGTATTAATAGATAATGATTTCTAACACATTACTTAAAATAAATTATATTTAATTTTGTGAAAAAATATTTGCAATTTTTAAATAACATAATAAAATTTAATTATTATTAGCGTTGAGTTAAAAATCATTTTTAAGGGAAAAGTATGCGAAAAATCAATTGAATAAAACATTTCATTTAATGGGATGGGAGGTAGGACTGGGATTATGTGATGGGGAAAAGGGATAAGTTGACAAGGTAATTATAGTTCATAGCTCAGTGTCAGTATTTCCTATCGGTGTGGAAAGGGATGTGATTTTTAATTTAATTAAAATGCCTTCTCATTAACGTCGAGGTCATAGGCTTTAGGTTTTTTACTAGTAATTAGTATTTATTTATTTAATATACAGTTTGCACTAAATTTATACAATTTATATATTTTATACCACTATTTATGATGACAACTTTTTAAATATAATTAAGTTATAATGTACTGTACATAGTTGTACACTGTGTATAAATGATTTTTAATGTTTGGATAATGCACCCAAAAATAATTAAATTAATTATTAAAATGAAATAATATTTAGCATTAATATTTTAGTGAAATCAATATGTATGAAAATATTATACATGTGTGTTTATATAAAAAAAAATAGTAGCACTCGCAATTAACTAAACAGTATATTATTGAATAGCAAATATAACTAGACAAGGTTATGCATGCAAGTCTGTAGCTTATTATCGCCAGGGTGTATTTGCTTATCAGATTCAAATGATAGTGATATTTTTTTAACACAATAAACACATTGTTTATATTTTAAACAAATAATATTTAATAGCTAACAATTATCATGATTTATATGATAATGGGCAACTTTCTTTAAGTGCTAGTTTATATACTATTTATATTTCTAGACATACACACACACCCTGGTGATACCCTTGAGAATAATGTCTTTAAAAAACATCATAACAACCCTCATATGTATATGTATTTTCTCAAACAATAGTCATACAAATCATAGTATAAAATAAGTATAATATACGCCAATAATAAACTCGTATTACTATTAATGCATTTCATTTGTGGTTAATATTTTTAATTCATGCATTAGTATAAAAATTAAGGTATTTTTAAATAGTTATTTTATTATTAAGTAATTAACATTTGTAATTAATTCACTATAATGAGGGTTAGGATATTTAAATAGTGAACACGCAATGAAAAGCATTGAAAATCAATACTACTTGAGCACCGGTAGACTATTGGAGACTCACCGTACACTTACTATTAGAATAACCTAAATAATAAAATTATTGTATAAAACATTTCTTACAACTCATGTATTGTGTAAAATACAGGCATTTAAACGAATAATTTTATACCAAATAGAGTTATAATTGTGTGAATATATTACCAGTAAATTATATACAAAAATATATATTTATATATTTATTGATATAAACGTGAATTGAAGTTCGCTATCAATACAAAATTAATAGTAAATTATTTTTTTTCAATGATAACTGTCTGTGATTCTCAATAAAACTTTTTTGTTGTAGCATTCAATTCATTGACTACTTGTTTATATAGAAAAAACTGGATATCCTTTACGTATAGTGTGTTTAGTATTTAGTATTAATACATACAAAAAGTCGTTTATATTTTTCTATACCCATTAAATCCAAGGCTAGTATATAATAGACAGTAAAAGGATTTTTTCTCTGACTTTCTATTAACGCTTCAATCAAATCTAGAAAAAGGTTTTATTTTTGGTTAATATATAAAAAAGTTTTGTTGAGAAATATTTTGGTAATCATTTTATATAATAATTTTTGTTTGTTTTTGCGCTAGTATTGCAATATTTGTGCGTTTAATCTATTCATCTGATTATTATATCTGGAAATTTAAGGTGAGATAAAATGTTTTTATATTTTATAAGAAATATTTTAAACTTTTTTTTCCTAATAAATACATTTCTGTTAATTGTATGCAATCTCTCTCTCTCTCTCTCTCTCTCTCTCTCTCTCTCGTACGTCAGAAAAGTAAATGTTTTAATAAAATGTATATAACTTATAGTTATGCTTATTATTACGAGCATATTATCATTAATTTAATACAAACATTACTATAGTATAAATATTTGCATTTATATTCAATATACAGTACTTTAACTATACAAACATTTTTTTATATCGCAACATAATAATTCATTTTTAGTCAATAAACAAAAACCACTTAAAACATACATTTTAGATATTAATAAAAATATTTTTTGCCCTGTTCATATTTTATTAATCAATTAATAAGGATGTCTAAGCTATTCAAGATGCACAAAGAATGTAAGCAAGCTAAAGCCGCTGCCAAAGCTCAAGCTAATGCTCAGGCTCAATCTCACGAGTCGGGTATAGTGCAGGGTATGCAGCATTTAAAGACTGATGAGCAAGGTAGTGTGCAATTTATATATATTCTTAGTTTTAATATTGTAGTTTAAATTAAGTAGATTTAGAAAGTATAAATATATTTATAAATTATATTGAATTACCGCTAGTTAGATAAATGTCAAGTTACATTGTCACAATAAAAATATCGATGCATTGTTAATATAAATTACATTTAAGTCACCTTATCGCATTCACTCGCACATACTTAACCTATTTCTAAAAATAATTTCCTATTAAACATATATCACCTCGCTTATCAATAATCAACCCTTTATTTAATAACCTTCAATCGAAACTTATTTAAATTTTTATAAACTTTATTTTTTATAATCAAAAATAACTTACTAGTTAATTACAATAAATATAATAATAAACCATCATGCTATAACCACAAAACTTTTGCACCCTGCTCAGACATGTCTGCCCCGGACTCGGAACTCGAATTCGCCAACAAAGTAGTACTAATCACGGGCTCGAGCTCAGGGCTCGGCGCCCAAATGGCCCGGGAGTTCGCCAAACGGGGCGCCCAAGTGGTGATCACTGGTCGCAATCAGGACAGGGTGTGCGAGGTGGCCGAGTCGTGCGACGGACTGTCCCCACTAGGGCTGATAGCCCTCCAGGTGGTGGCCGACGTCACGAAAGACGAGGATGTCAGGCGTCTGGTGGGCGTCACTGTCGACAACTACGGCCAGTTGGATGTGCTGGTGAACAACGCGGGCGCCGGTAGCTTTGGCACACTGGACAACCCGAAGCTGTTGGACCAGTTGGACCACATGTTTAAGCTGGACGTGCGGTCGGTGGTCCAGTTGACCCAACTGGCCGCTCCCCACTTGGAGAAGACCAAGGGTGCCATTGTTAACGTATCGTCGGTGTGCGGGGTTAAGCCGGTGAGTGGTTTATGTGTGTTTGAGCATGGTCACTAGTTGTATTTTTTATTTGGTTTGTAATTTTGTTATAGAATTTTAATTCCCATTTAAAATATAGTAATAATATTATAATACTAGAATCCCACAGAGGGAGCTACAGGTTTGCTATAATACTGTATGTTTTAATAAATTTAATAGTTAAGAATAATTAGTGGTACAAAATAATTAGCATAATTAGCCTAGACATTATTAATAAACGAAAATATCTTTGTAAATTATTGATCATTTTCTTACTATATAATATTATTTATAAATATAAATAAAATAAATTAGAAATCTTGTTGGCAACTTGAAAATATAGACATAAACATAGAGTAAAATCCGAATATATTACATTAACCTAGCTAATATTGTATTTCATTTGATAGTACGCGGGCTGTTCGGCCTACTGTATGGCCAAGACCTCGATTGACATGTTCACCAAATGTATTTCCCTGGAGTTGGGGCCCAAAGGCATACGGGTTAACGTAATCAAGTGAGTCACACACACATCCCTGCTTATCATAATGACCTAGCTACAATTTATTTCAACCGCCTACCAGTCCGACAGCGGTGCGCACCGGCTTTCAAGAGAACTCGGGGGCCGGGGATGTGTTCAACGGGTTTGTGGCCCACTTGGAGCAGACGTGTCCGTTAGGCAAACTCCCGGAGCCCGTGGACATCGCCAACGCCGTCCTATTCCTGGCCTCCAGTAAGAGCGCCTTCATTACGGGTGTGGCCCTACCCGTCGACTGCGGTACTCTTAACTCGTAAACGAGTTGGTAAGGTGTGATTTATGGGGGGTACGGGAGGTGCCGCCTAATTATTAGTTTGGTGTTTTATATGGTGTTTAAAGTATTTTGTGATTATACGTGAAATTAATATTTTAAAGCATTTTATTAATATGTATTTTATGTGTTTAGTAAATAATGTATCAAGCAAATAGTTTAAGAAAATATATTCTCTCTCTCTCTCTCTCTCTCTCTAACTTTAAATGTGCCACTAATTTAACTACCATGTAACTTTAATACTTGTACTAAATACATAGATTATCTATTATGTATGAATAAAATAAAATATAAAATTTTAGAATTTAAGACTGTAATGTTTAATAAATACTAAACATATTATAATGAAATAATCACTTTCAATTAATAAAATTGGGTAATGTAGCTCACAGCTAAGATTTATTAAAATATTATTTTAAAATTAAATATTTTATTTTAAAAATGGCAAACTATTCAATTACAAATTACTTTTAAAATTACCAAACATTTATGCCAATTTTTAAAAATTTAATAACATGCACAAAAATTTAAATAGTTATTGTGGAAAATATCCTAACAATCCAATATACAGCCAATCCAATGACTATAGTTGTGGACCTATTCAACAAAATGTTATATTTTGAAAAACATAAGTCCAGTAATTGACTGATAAAACAGATACCTATTGTCAGTCACGCTATTAAGCAATTTGTTATCATTTGCTTGAAAACCTCGTAATATGTGACACATAGTAAATTATAATGTTTTGTGAAATTTATTAAAATAAAAAAGTCTAAATCAAAAGGACTTTTTTAGGGCTTTACACTTTTTGTTTCATTGAATACACACTCATATTTTATACAACGCTGTATGTACCCGGGTACTTTGTTTATAGTCCTTGTTATACACACTCATTGAGTAGTCATATTATTAGCCCTTTTATACATTTTAACAGCTGTTTTACATACTCTTTATACCGGTATTAATACTGTATTTAACTTAAAATTAAACTTAAAACGATACAAATATTTTTATATAGTAGACTTATATCTCACAATATTTTATGCAAAATATTTTATTACAGTTTTATTATAAATTTATTTTAAAAATCTCACTGATATTAAATTTAATTTTACGAATATATAGTATAATAGTAAGACAAATTAATATTCAATAATATGTCTAGAGGACTTTTAAATATTAATTGTTATAATTGAGTAAATAATAATAATAATAATAATCAATAACAAAATTATTCTTACACATCAAACTTACAATATATCGCATTATATTGTATAACATAATATATCAATACAGTAAAGTACAGTAAATATAGTACAGTAAAATATCAATACATTTATTTAATATGACTGTACCATAAAGTTAGTATGTGACAAACAATCAATGAAACTCATTATTATAATAAACGCATCGATTTGTTTCACATAGAAATGTACAGTACAGTACAAAATGTTTGCGCTACTGTATAATTAACTTATTTGACCATAAAATGGGAAAACAATTGTTAATAACACATACATACTGAGCGATAATATAGAAATAATTTTTTTGCAACAAATACTAGTAATCATTTGTTTAATAAAAGTTATTTTGTACAAAAATTGGCGTATTTATAATGTTGTACAATTTATTGTTTGTAGTAACTGTTCAAAATTGTATAATTTGTATGGATATTAATTAGCATAATGCTTAAGTATGTGCGAGTTTGTATTAATTACCTGTTAATAGTAACTAGTATTTCATTGTTTTATTTAACTTATTATATTCATCGAGATATGTGTGGAAACACTTTACTTAAGATTAATGAAGTGAGAAGTCGACAGAATTGTAAGTTTACGAGACTATTCATTAAGTATTTATCAAGGTAAATGAAATACCTGGGTTGTATATATAATATTTATTGGGTAATCCCTTAATTAAAATTAACTATTTAACCAAATTATTTAGCTAGTATATTTCACAAAATTAATATAATTAAAATACTATACAACATAGCTTAATTAAGTATAATAATTTCTAACAGGGACATTATTGGAATACAGTAATACCCGGCACAGGGAGCCTGTCGTGCCAAACACCGTACACTACATCCTATTCACGGTACGGGAGATACAGTTCGCGCACTTCCTATCCATACTATCGGTGCTCCGTAACCACAGGCCGGACCTCATATACATTCACTGCGATTGCCATCGACTGTCGGGAAAGTACTTCCAAAGGGTGTCCGCAATACTCCCCAAAACCAATACCCGGCTCATTGTCCGTCGTATTGAAAAGCCTACGCATATATTCTCGCATAAACTGCGACCGGAGTGGTCGGACTGGCACGGGTCGGACCTGACCCGGCTCAGACTACTGGCCCAGTACGGGGGCGTATACCTGGACACCGATGTATACGTTGTTAAGCCGTTGCACGAGTTTTTTCACTACGACTTTACCGTCGACTTTCAGGTGCCGTACGTAATGCTCGGCAATCAGGTGCTCATAGCCCGTGCCAACGCTACGGCGCTGGACCTATGGATCGGTACGTACCGGTACTACGACCCCGACAGTTGGTACTATAATGCCGGTGAACTACCGGTGCGATTAGTGATGAATGAGAGGCCGGAATTAGTGCATAGGCTTAATGGCGAGTTTGGGGCGCAAGGTACTTTTGTTTGCTCAATGTTGTATTACGAGTACCATGGTGATTGGCGTGCCAAGTATTACGCGGTGCATATGGCTATCAGGGATGATTTGTTGGCGCCTACAGGTTGGTGTTTGAGGGCATACCGGCCCCCTGTGTCGCGGTTTAATGAACAGAATATTCGTCATATGAATACCACTTTTGGGGAAATGTCTCGTGAATTGTTTCAATACGAGTCGAGATTAAGATTAAGTAAAAGATTAAGCGTTGGATAAAGTGGTGATTAAGATATTTCTTAATAAAAATTATTTTTTAATATGTGATTAACATTACAACAGTTTTTAAATAGCATTATGAGTGAAAGTGTATTTTTGTATAATGTATAATACTTTTTTGTAACCAAATGAATATGGTATTTATAAATTAATTTAAATTTGAATAAATCAGATTTATATTACAGTAATTTTATTTATTTAGCTACCATGTTAATTATAATTAATTATGCATAAAAAATAAATTAACTTGTTGCACACAACATGTGCATGGTTTAAAATAATTGCCAAAAATCAAGAAAACTATTTTTATTTTATTTTAATAAAATATGTTGAGAATAATTTCATATTTATCTAATTACAATAATTAATGTTTAATTAAGTAAAAATATTTAATTTTAAAAAAGTCTGTGCTAATTAACAAAAATAAATAAGCTACAGTTTTAATTAACATTATGATAAAAACATAATGTATGATTGTATTATACAATTCACATAGAAATTCATAACATACACAAAAATCAATCTGTTTGTGATGTCTATTGCATAACAAATGATAGATTTTTTAAGAGTTTATGTATCACTCGTGTAATACATAAACAATAGCATTGTCAATACACATTATAAATCTATAAAAATAGTGATTAAATTTAATATCGATTGCATAAATTGAATGTGAAATAACAGTGTCCCTAAGCGACGTCCCCCTCTGTATTGTAGTGTTTTGTAAATGCATTTAAATAGTTATTTCACTGAAAATGTTGAATACATTACATAACTTTTGTTGTTATATATTCACGCAATAGTAAGCTAGTGGTATACAAACATAAATTTAATATGCTTGCTAAATTTAGTAACAACTACATAATTTGTTTTAAATAGAGTTTGTGTTATTATCAAATTAATTACAGAGTTGCTTAAATAAAAGTTTATTTATTTAATTAAAAGTTTTATTGATCAAGGAACAACTATAAAAATGATAGTGATGTTCATTATTAATAAATTAAAATTAATATAAATTTTTTATGATTACAATGGTGTCGGATTATTTGTATTTAAATATGATTTATTTGTGTAGCGTACTGACAAAAGTAACATGCGCATATTATTGGTATAACGTGTTAATAAGGCTCAGATTAAAACAAACTATTTTTTGTTTTTGTGTGCTTTCATTCATAATAATTAATTTATATTACATACGTAATCAAAAACAATTAAACTTAAAACAACAGTTATTGCAGCGATATAATAAACTAGGTAAATAAAGTGTATAATTAAATTTTTATGTTTGATGTTAAGCTTAAGTTAATGAATTAATTGAAATAAATAGTCAAACTGTAAATTATAAATATATAAAATGTTTTGACAGTTAATAAAAAATAAAACAGAAGTTATATTGGTGTTTATTTATTTATTTATTTATTTTGAGAAACCTAAATCTTAAATATTTAAAAAATTTTAGTATTTAGTAATTAATAGTATAGTTCAAAAGTATTTCTAAATTAAAAATTTAATTAACCAAATAATGTTTATAATAAATTCAATAAAGGCTATGTCTGTCATAATCCAATTAATTTATATAATTTTATTGTTAAAAAATTATCTACATTGAAGTATTTATAATTTACAGTTTTACATACTTTTAATAAAAATACAGTACTATGTTTACTATTGCTACCTATACATTGACAATTTATAAAATTGCAATAATTTGTAAACTAAATATGAAACTAATTAAACACACATGACATTTAAAAATACACTTGGTAGAAAAATGGATGATAATGCATGCTATTTACAACTATTGATCACATTGACAACTAAATTAACAACTTGATAATTATTTACAAAATATAATTTAAGGTCAAAACGATCCGTACTTAGTGAACACCCCTTATTGCCGTATAATCCGATGGCCACTATTTGACACCGACGTCGTCGCCCTATACGCCAACAAATCGGGCAAAAGTATCGCCTGTAAAGACCCCTACAATCCATTGGAGCGCG